TCATTGTGTATTTAACTCAAATCATTGTGTATTTAACTTGAATTTTTCTACAATAGGCTCCGTTCTTAACTATGGGTCATCCGTAAACCAGGCGTTCTTAACCCAGGAATTACCTGTATGCAGAAAACAGCCCTGATGGATTGCAACTGTTCTCTTTTGATCATGAAGCCTATTCAAAAGCACCAAATGTTGTTCATTGCCCACGTCAGCCTGCACTAACAGACACAGATTTAAGGTGAGGGAGAAGGCAACAGAGATATAACACATGACAAGGCCTAATTGTTTAAAATTTAAGAAAAATAGGTGAACATGTTCAGTTTTGGGTTCCTGGTGGTCTCTGAACCACACCTGACCTCGCTTAGCTTTTTGAGATCAGTGGTGCCACTTAAAAAGATTGTTATTGTTGCTTCCAACTCTTTGTGGCTGACGGACATCATCTGGCAAGACGTTGTAGGAGGAGAGCTATTTCTATGGTGGCAGAAAATCAGGAGTCTGGTAGCACTTTTTATGAAAAATCACAGTGCCTTCTGATTTTTTGCCATCATTTTACAAAGAGCATCTTGCCAATAGCCGCTTCTTGGAGTTCTTGTAAGGTCCTGCTTAGGCCATCAATGGGAGTCTCTAGCTGCCTTGTCTTCTGCTGGACTATTTTTCCATTTCTCCTGATCTTCCCAAGCATCAGGGTCTTCCCTTCTTCTGATTTTCTCAAGCATCAGGTAGAGTTGGAAACTGGTTTTACTGCCTATCAGCAGACTGGATTTAAAAAAGAATGCCTTTTTACCCCAGCTGTCTGCGGCACTGACTCCAACGGATAACAGACATGCCACCATGAGCTTCTAGACTTTTTCCCCATTCGCGAACGAACAGTAAATCCTCTCCAGTGTCGCTGACAAGAGCACAAACTGTTTCAAAACTCAATCTATCCTTCGAACAAGGCTGTTAGCAGTGATGCTGTGAAATCACTTCTACAGCAAACCCTGGGTGCCAGGCTGCACGTTGCCTGCGTCCATGAGCAATCTGGAAGGTGATGAATGAAGATGACTTACGAGGCTTTCAGCATTTAGTTCTGGTAGCTCATGGATGGTGCTGGCGGGATAATCCAAGGCAGATATGCTACGGGGAAATCAAAGGAGAGGCAGAGAGAGAGAGAGAGAGAGAGAGAGAGAGAGAGAGAATGAGAGAGAATTGCTTCAGTTGCCTCTTGGGTTTGCAGGCAGAAGGGAAGGCAAGTGTGAATGCAGCCTGCACCTGTTTTTGGCAGTGATGTAGGACATGATATTCTGGTTGAAGAACTTCAGTATCAACGGGATGCAGTTGGCAAAGACCAGATGCTGCGAGACATACTCAAACTGGAGGAAAAGAAAAGGTGAAATGTTGCAGAGGGAAGGAATTTGCCACAGGCAGAGACAGAATTTCCTACTCTTTCTATAGGGAGAGGATCTAAAGAGAATCTTATTCAGGCTCTTCTGTTTATTATTTGCAATAATAGTAATCAAGGCATGTTTTAGGGCAAAGCCCAGTTCAGTCAGCTGGCTCCACTGCAAATTGTACACCTTTTGCACCATGCAAATTTCATATGGCTTTTGGACACAACCTGACATCAGCAACACAGTCAGCAACATGTCCATTTTAGCACTTTCTGGGGGGTCCCTGTCGGGGGGGCGAAGGGGATATTCAATTATCCCCTTCCCCTGCCTTTATCTGTTGATAAAGAATTTGACGCGATACAGCCATCCAAGCCAATTATTAACAGCCAGTCTCCATCTGTATCTCTCACCCACAGATTTGCAGAGTTAAGTAATTTCCAAAAGAAAACATGCACCTCTTCGCTATTTTTTTTTCATCCAGATTCTGTCCCCAAACTACTATCCAACTGCATTCATACAACACCCTTCACCTGGTTACCAAATTAACCCATATTTCTGACTTTACACAATACACTGAACCATAAAATAACCAAGTGGTCTGAGGTTATGAATGGCACCCCATGTCAGCCCACCCAAAATCTAACTGAGGTTAAGCCTAACCAAGTTTAGGATACTGAACAAATGCAACCACTAGATTTCTACCTGGTTAAATTGTTGTGAGAAGACAGCCTGTATATATTACCCTGATTTATATGTCATTATCAAGAATTATTTGGTTAATCACGGTTTACCAAAGAATCCACAACTGGCTGAGTTTACACGACATGGTAATAGGTTGTCTGAATCAGCTCTTTGTCAATATCATGAAGACGTTAAAGAGGCAAAAATTTCAAGTTACTCATATGGAAGTGAAAGGAAGATGTACCTTTTCTGGTTCCCTCAGGCCCTGCTGTACCATTATATGACCTTTCTGGCATTTCAACGTTTTGGAGAACCCTTAATGAGCTATGTATATTCTCTTCTATTGGAATCTTTAATAGGAAGTTGATTCAGAGGATTTGTTTCTGACTGCTGTTTTTTTTTTTCATCTCAATGTAATCTGCATCTTTAAATTTATCACCTCTTTTGTGGAAGACATACCAGTTTTCCATTCAAGGAAAGAAGAATGGAAAACAAAATAGCTCCAGAGTTCTCCAACCTGACCCCATCCAGATGTGCGGGGACTCCAGTTCCCAGATATCTTTGCCATTTTGGTTGGGGATACTGAGAGTCACTATCCCAAGGAATGTAGGGAAGACTAGAAAATGTTTATTTTTGTAAACCACCAAGTGTCTCAGGACGGCAGTGATCTAAAAATTAATTAATTCTTTTCACTCGGTCTCACAGCTAAAGTCCCCTAGAACAACCTTCTTCAATCTGATGCCTCTAATTATGTTGGGATGGCTTAAGAAATGAAGGAAACGTCCTTCCATGCCTCCAAATACCCACAAAATCCACCTGATAAATGTGATTCAGCTTGAAATGCTTCAGGAGCAGCAGCAGCAAGGCAGAGATGCTTTTGACAATGATCTCTTTGTGCCTGTTCACATCAATCCCCAGCTTCATGCTCTGGAGGACAGTGACACTGAACCCAAGGAGAAAGAGAGGAAGAGTTAAATCTTGCACATTGACCTCAGAGACCATCCAGTCCAGCATCCTGATTTAAATGGGAGCCAACCAGCTGTTTCTGGGACACAAGATCTGACAGCCAAGGCCTTCCACAGCTCTTGGCTTTCAGCAGTGGGTCTGCACTGAGGGAAGATCCCACTTAGCAATTTACAGGTAGTCCTCACTTGACAACCACATCAGGGATTGGAAAATTTGTTATTAAGCAGGGCAGTTGTTAAGTGAGCCATGCCCAACTTTACGACCTTTTTTGCAGCAGTCATTAAGCAAATCACCATGGCCATTAAGCAAATCATGTGGTCATTCAGCAAATCATGCAGTTCCCCATTGATTTTGCTGGCCGGAAGCCAGCTGAGGTCGCAAATGGCGATCACATGACCCTGGGACACTGCAATCATCATAAGTGCAAGCTGGTTGCCAAGCACCTGGATCATGATCACATGACCACGGGAATGCTGCGACGGTTGTAAGTGCGAGGACTGGTTGTAAGTCCCTTTGTTCAGCAACATTGTAACTTTGAACAATCACTAAATGAATGGTTGTTAAGTGAGGACTACCTGTACAGCTTCCTCCACCAATGATCTAAAAGCCATTTCAATCAGCAACTACACTTGCCTCTTATCACACAGAAAGCCACACACTGATCTGGGCTGTCTGAAGAAGTAACAGCCTTCCCCAGTGTGTCCTCCTCCAGATGTAACAGGACTACAATTCCCAGGATTTACGCCGATGCATAATGCCCTCCACAGATGTTAAAAAGATCTCCCGCCATATCAGAGAAGTTATATAGCTCTTCCAGCCCCTCATCCACTTACGGCATTTCCTCAGGTAACACGTCTGCCAGGATGTTGATTGAGTCAGTCTTGGCTTTTGAGGTTGGAGCTGCAGCTAGCAGAATCTTTAGCAGAGCTATCTGCAGCAAGGAGGGGGATTATAAATCTTAAACTAGACTTTTTTTTTAAAAAAAAAGGCAAAACATTTACAGCCTACCAAAACATCCAAATTAATAGAAGGGTGCTTGGACCAATCATGCAAGTCTTTGTACACTGTCCTCTGTGGAACCAAGATTAATTTGTACATCACTGTGGTAAAATGCAGAAATCCTTTGGAGAAATAAACAAATAAATAAAAAATAAATGCACACCCACAAATGTCTGGATCCTTTTCTGTGGCATTTTCCATCACCCAAAGAGTTCTGATCCAAGTGAATGGGCAAGTGTGTGTGTGTGTAGCTGGGTATGCATCTTTCTCTCTGTTTCATGCACTTGCACGGATAAAATGCTCACCATGTACTGTGGCAAGTTATATAACATTGCCCGATAGAGTATTTCACAGGGTGTCTCCTGCACTTCCTCTTCCCCCTGAAATGATAGACCAGATGCAAAAGGAGGGACAGGAAATGAGATGACAGCCAAAGAAAATAAGCAGTGAAGCAAACAGGGTGATAACAGGAGCACTCTTGAGCTGATATTGGTACTACTTCTTAGGAATGTCAGCATGTTCCTGACCTGTGGAACTTACAAACTGAAACTCTGGGTGGAGGAACCAAGAACTCCAACATTCACACCTACAGCGCCAAGAGGGATCTCAGCTTCATACCTGCCAGCCCCTAGGTATGAAGGAAACTGATCCAAGAGGTTTTGCAATAGGAGATTTTACAGTGACCCCTGTGAGAGTTGAGAGGAAGAGTTTCTCAGGTCAGAGATGTCAGTTATGTCAACAATCGATGGTGGCTCAGCTTCAAAGCTGAGAAGTGCAGGGCAAAATGTCTGTTAAAGCAGGAGAAAGAAGCATTGGATATATAAGCACGTTGGGTATAAAAAGGATCACCATGTTAACAAAGGACAGTCAACTCTTTTGGTAGCTTCTTTCTAGACAAAAACAAAATTCTTATTTAGCTGTGCTGTGCTGAGTGCTGAGTTGGAGTTTAAATCCTAGTTAATTCATGCAAATCGAGTGTCCTGAGGGTTCTGCCAAAGTCATCCCAATGGTTTGTCTTTTCCAAGGGGATTTAGCAAGACGTTGCTCAGAGATTACACTGAGTTCTTAGCAACTCAGGTATCCATCTAGCAGGTGAAGAGGTGCAGCTGTATGGGACAGCCTGTGAAAATACTTACCAAAGATATGGGACACTTTTCCATTTCTTCCTCATTCTTGATCTGCACTTCGGAGACTGAGACATATTTGTGCTGAAGAGAAGATGTGAACAAAAGGAATTGCACTAAAAATCAGAGTGCTTTGGAGGAACTTCAGTTACTCTAAAGCCAATGACTTTCAACAGCCCGTAAATATAGACAGTGGAGAGTGATGTTGAGAGCTGTAGTTCACAACATCTGGGAGGCCACAAATTCTCTACGCCTGACTAAGAGGACCACAAGAACAAGAGCCCCTCTGGATCAGAACAAGGCTCATCTTAGTCCACCATTTGGTTTCTCACAGTGGCTCACTGGATCCCTCTGGCATGGTCACAAGGGGGAGATGAAGTCATTCTCTTATTTTGCCTTTGTCCCCTTGGGATTTCAACACAGGCTACCTGACCCAGCAGTAATATGGAGTCTTCAAGGCTAACCTGTCCTCAACCACCCAAGTTAGTGGCCATCACCAGGTTAATTTTGCACTAAGTGAAGAAGTATTTTCTTTCAGTGATTCTAACTCTCCTTTTGATCAGCTTCATTGGGTGACCCGAAACCCTAGCATTTGGAGAGAGGGAGAAAAACTTAGCCTGTCTATTTTCTCCATGCTGTGCTTGATTTTACAAACCTCAATTATGCCCCCACCCCAATAAAGGAATTTTGTTATTCTGCTTTACTAAAGAGCATTTCTGGAATCCCTACCATGCCTGTTCTTGATTTGGCCTACCCTGAAGGGCTAACACACACACCCCATCACGTTTTTGTTACACTAAAGCCAAATGCTCAAATCTTTTCTTGTTAGGGAAGGTCTTTGAATCCCTGATGATTTTGGTGTCTCTCTCCTGCACTTTTCTTAACTCTATGATACCCTTTCTCAAATATGGCCAAAATATTCCAGATGCAGACATACCCTAGATTTGTATGATGAGTTTACAACATTGTTGGTTTTACTTTCAGTCCCTTTCCTACTGACACAGAGCATAGAATTTGACTTTTTCACAGCTAATGCCCAACTGAGTTGACATCTTCACTGTGTTAGCCAGAGAAGATCTTTTTCCTGGCTAATTACACACCACTAATTTTTTTTGGATTGCTTTACACTTACCTAAGGAGCTTTGTTAGGAACTGAATGGGTTGTCCCAGACTATTGGGCACTGTGCTCCTAGGGTGGTTGGCTACAGCAGTGTTGTCCAAACTTGGCCACTTTAAGATGAGTGGACTTCAACTCCCAGAATTCCCCAGCCAGCATGGCTG